ATAGAGGAATTGTGGGTTGTGTATGCTTTTAAAGGCAGAAACGTAGTTCCTTTTCTGCCTTTAAGAGCACACACAACCCACAATTCCCCTATTCGCTCCGTCGAAGGGCTAACGCTCGAAACGTCAGCTTTTATAGTTGTAACGGTGGCCAATTTACCATTTCAACTTTGTTGATATATTCAAATTATTTTGTTCAGTTTCAGGTGACCAGAGAAGTTACGGTATGATCCATCAGCCACTCTAAAAAAGTTGGTATTTGACTGATGACTCGAATCTCGTGAAATGAAACACATCACGTGAAATGAAACACATCACGTGCAACCAACACATGAGGAGTAGAGGCTTTGCCTGCCAGTGTGTTCCATCCTTTAGCTACTTGTGCTTCATGGATTTGAACAACGTCAACTATCTTATACCTTCCAGCAGCTTTCATTACATTGTAACTACTCGTTGCCAAATAAACCTGTAATGTTTGGTAAGTCTCTGTCGTGTCTTTTAAAACGGATTCAATGTGGCCCTCATCATGCTCGGGATAAACCGAGCAATGGCTCCTGGTCATTCAGGTTGTTTCGTAACAATTTACGAACCAACAAAGTGATCAGCTCCCAATACAGGCAGTGGTGGGATGAGATTTCAGCTAAAACTCGACGGAATGGCCTGAAATCGCTACCAGAACAAAAAATAACACAAACAACACTATGTAAAGCAGTGGCGGATCCAGGGGGGAGGGTCCGGGGGAGCCCCCCCCCTCCCTATCAGACCTGACGCTTACAACTTTGAGACTGAAATTCTTACATCCGCAGGATCGTATATCACTTTTTAACTGGCTGATTTTTTTAAATTAATGAATCCAAGTAAATGGTAAGCTGCCAAGGAATTATAACGTGCAACCGCGACTGGTGGGAGGACAAGAGTAATTATTAAAAGAAGGTTAGCTGAAATTGCACTGTTTTCCTTGTAGTGATTTTGCGATTCGTTTGTAACCTAAGACAGAGTTCGACATCGATGCGCATGCGTGGCGGCCATGCTGTCACGGATTTCTGGCGGTAGTAAATGTGTTCGGATAATCTCCTTATTTACCTGAGAAACTATGCGATAAATTTTTATGGACAAGCAATTGAATTTATATCAAAATTGGCTCGGAAGTACAGAGCTGATGAGCAAGACTGTGCTTTTCTCTGTTTCACGTAGCATCTAGGACTCGTGAATGCAAAGATAAGTGAGTGTGACAACCGGGGAGTGTTTCATTTAGGACGCATACTGCATTGCGTGAGTTTAAGCAAGACCCTCCAGATGACGCGTTTCTGGGGAAATGGTGAGAATTTCAGCAATTTATATTTTATATTAATATAATTTCAGAACTGAGCAAAGAGTTTCCAGCAATCTGATTGGTCGAGTGGTTCCTTACATGACGCTATATAAACCACTCCAGTCGGTTGAAATAAAATGTTAATAAATGTTACTAAAATGTTATGATTTTAGAAATTTCTCGGTTGTTCAGCTCTGAAATTATACTAAAACAATTATTCACCTCAGGTTCAGTGAATATTGTCGAATAATCTCCTCGACTTCGTCTTGGGGATTATTCGACAATATTGACCTTGCCTTCAGCGAATAATTGTTAATTATAAGCAGTGGATTGTTCCGTAATGGAAGTTATAATTCTATTTTTAAGGCTGTGCAGTTCTTGTCACTGGGTCTTGTATCACCCGAATTTTTTCTTTTTTTTTTCTTCTTTTTTTTTTTTTTTCCCAATGGATTTTGTTGTAAAAGAAGTTCAAGGGGAGGAACAACTTCGTCATTTTTATTTTTGCAGGTACCCCTCTATTTCAGTTTCACGTGCCCAATTTTCCGCTCTTTACTACTGACCTAAGGATCACTAAGGGCCCGGCACAGCCTAGAATTAAAAAAAATTCTTAAAGTTGATCCACCATCTGTGATTCCCATCTGACTTTTAGTAGTCTTCACTATGTACCATCACTACTAGATGTGAGGTAAATGTTGCATCACGATGCTGTCTTCGTAGCTCTGATGGAAGATATTTTGCGTTACCGGAGTCCATGAGCCCCAACCTCAATATCAAACGAATTGACAGTAAGCCAAGACAAACCATCTATTTTGTCTGGCTCATCATACTTCAGTGGTTTTTAGCCATTTAGAGCAACCGTTTTTTCCGAAAATATTGAATGGTGTCTCTCTTGTTGAAAATTTAAATGGCCTTTGCTGATGCAATTATGTCTCTATCAATGTCCCAAGGAAGAGCCATTACTAAGTTCAAGTGAAATATTATGATCATCAGTAAAGCTCTGAAAAAAGATACAGTGCACCTGCGTATGCTTCCCTTCAACAGACTGGCAATAATTCACTGTGTGCTTTGCAAAGAAAACTAATATCTTTTACAGGAAAAAGAATACTCTATCCGGCATCGGGCATTAACACTCGATTAAGTTACCATTTCTCAGCTAAAGGTGTCCACATTGCCATCAGTTATCTGTTAAAAATGCATGGTTAGCCTGCCTTTTTCAGATAATTACAGAACATACACTCATTCTTTGAGTGTAAGTATCTTTCTTGGTACTTTATAGTTCTTCATTGTAATTAATTTGAACGCATCTTGTTCAGTTTCCAAATGAATAAAGGCTGATAGTTTCTAAAGAAACTGTTTGGGGCTGCGTCGGTGGGGGTAACGAAATAATTTGAATATATCAACAAAGTTGAAATGGTAAATTGGCCACCGTTGCGATTATAAAAGCTGACGTTTCGAGCGTTAGCCCTTCGTCGGAGCGAATAGAGGAATTGTGGGTTGTGTATGCTTTTAAAGGCAGAAACGTAGTTCCTTTTCTGCCTTTAAGAGCACACACAACCCACAATTCCCCTATTCGCTCCGTCGAAGGGCTAACGCTCGAAACGTCAGCTTTTATAGTTGTAACGGTGGCCAATTTACCATTTCAACTTTGTTGATATATTCAAATTATTTTGTTCAGTTTCAGGTGACCAGAGAAGTTACGGTATGATCCATCAGCCACTCTAAAAAAGTTGGTATTTGACTGATGACTCGAATCTCGTGAAATGAAACACATCACGTGAAATGAAACACATCACGTGCAACCAACACATGAGGAGTAGAGGCTTTGCCTGCCAGTGTGTTCCATCCTTTAGCTACTTGTGCTTCATGGATTTGAACAACGTCAACTATCTTATACCTTCCAGCAGCTTTCATTACATTGTAACTACTCGTTGCCAAATAAACCTGTAATGTTTGGTAAGTCTCTGTCGTGTCTTTTAAAACGGATTCAATGTGGCCCTCATCATGCTCGGGATAAACCGAGCAATGGCTCCTGGTCATTCAGGTTGTTTCGTAACAATTTACGAACCAACAAAGTGATCAGCTCCCAATACAGGCAGTGGTGGGATGAGATTTCAGCTAAAACTCGACGGAATGGCCTGAAATCGCTACCAGAACAAAAAATAACACAAACAACACTATGTAAAGCAGTGGCGGATCCAGGGGGGAGGGGGGGGGGGAGCCCCCCCCCTCCCTATCAGACCTGACGCTTACAACTTTGAGACTGAAATTCTTACATCCGCAGGATCGTATATCACTTTTTAACTGGCTGATTTTTTTAAATTAATGAATCCAAGTAAATGGTAAGCTGCCAAGGAATTATAACGTGCAACCGCGACTGGTGGGAGGGGGTGTGGTGGGTATGGGGGAGAAGTAATTTGCCTCAAAAGAGTCCAACGGTCCTTTCTGAACCAAAGTTTGGACCCCCCCTATCAAAAATTCCTGGATCCGCCCCTGTAAAGGTTACAGTTTATTTGCTTTATTATTTACGGAGTTACAGAGAAGAGCCTAAACTCCCATACAAAGCTCTCTTGTAACACTGTTCAGAATCACTGAAGCGATCGTGTCGAGAAGGGCGGAAATGCGGCAAGAATTCCGTTTAATCTTCTACTATTCTAAAACAAAGCCATAGTCAAAGGCAATGTATCCTTTTCGCCATTGCTTTCTCTATCCAAGAACTGTACGCATCACGATACAGGTAAATTTTTTATGAAGCACACTACAAGGGTCGACGTGACAATGAAGCAAACCACTGGATTGCGTTACCGTATGTTAGATGAAAGAGACTGCGGGCTCAACCATAGAGCGACACCGCGCCAAGAGAGATTTAAAGATGCCTCCCAAGAAGAAGTTGAAAATTGACAGAGACAAACGTTCAAAGACAGCCGAAAAAGGTAAAGTAAGATACAAAGGAATGTTATGTATGTGGACAGAATTTGAAACCTACATGCAAGTATGCTTCTAAGACTGTCCCTGACACATGTTATTAAAGATAACACATGTTATTAAAGCCAGAATAATTATTGAAATTACCATTTCGAACATTTATGAAAAGAAAAGTCTTAAAGAAATTGTGTTTTGATACCGCCACAATGTTTCATGGGTGCTAGACTGTGAACAATGAACGATATTAATATTTTCCTTTTAATTTCGCTGCATTGATTATCAGGACATCACATGCATCACTGGATGTTGATTATTATACATAACGAGCATTTCGATAAAGCCACAAAAGTTCGATAAAGCTTTTTGACTTTAGTGTCGTGAATCAAAAACAGAAGGTATCACAACTGCCAATCACAGGAAAGTAAAGGACTAAACCGAGCATACTGCCAAAAGCGCGGGAAAACGCCGAATACGAAGCCGTGATTGGTTTACTGATTGAGAGAGTGGGTGTGAGTTTTCTGGACCAATCAGTAGCGAAGTAAAGCAAAACCAATGCAATCCAGGATTACCTTTGAGTCTCAATATTGAAATTTGTGCCATGAATTTAATTTATACTGGTAACTAGTGGTAAGTAGTTAAGCAGACTTTTTACCCCACTCCACTCATGTTGACATCCGCGCTGTGACAGTGAGTGACTCATGTGGGATAGATTCTTCATAATTGCACTTTTTGGCCACCAGCCTCATAAGATTTTTATGTTATTGAATTGAAAAAAAAAATTGCTTCACAAATGGACATGGGTCATTTAGCACCCAGGGTGCTGCTAGCTACACTCCTGGATAGAAACCTAACTTTACCAGCCAGCCAGCCAGCCAGCAGATGTAATGAAAATCATCAGTAGCCCATTAGTAGTGAGCTCATGGTATTGTATACATTTTGTTTGAAATCACATTTTATTGATGAAATTAATGAATTACACTATCCCTAGAGGAGAGTGCCAAACCAAGCAAGATTCCAAAGAATGTAAGTATGTGGTCATTACTGATCTCAGCTGTTTCTGTGTTCTCTGAACTGGATGTTGTGTGAAAGTCAAAGTAGGCAACTTGTTGTTGGACTTGACATTGCTCAGTCATTCATGTCAAGATAAATTTGTGAAATATGAATTTGAAAATTTATCTCAATCACCATAGCAACTACCACTTACCATATAAAAAATGGGGAATTTCCAAAATAGAGGAATTTCTTGCTTCAGACAATGTCTTTACTGGAGATATTTTTTCAATGCTTCCTATGTTTCAAAAGATTAAGACATGGAAATGGTATTTATGAATAAATTAGTTACACTCATATTGTTGTTATTGTGCAGGTAGCTTTTGTGAATAAAAAGGAATGAATTTCAGATTTTAAACTTAATTTCATTGGATTTTTCAGGAAGTGCAATACACAAGATGGCTTATGAAATCTGAACCTGAAAGTAGATTCGAGAAAGGAGTAGATGTAAAGGTACTTCAGTATGCTTCTAAAAGCCTTACATAAGCAATAAAATACCATTCAAGTGAGGCTATGATTCTTTTCCTTTGTAAATTCTAAATGTGTTCCGCCTTTGTTATCTGTTTATACCAGCCTTCCTTCATTCCACCCAAATACCATTAATTTATTTCACATTATTTAAGTTCCTTCAATTTTATGGGAGATGAGCGTCTTCAATAACATGTTTTCTAACATGTTTTTCTAACCATTTTCACTGCATTACTGCAGTAGAGTAGGACTAGAATGGAACATATGCGAACCATGCGAGTAGTACATCCAATAAATCCCACCCATCCCCACCCCAGGGGAGGACATCCATCACACAGTAATCTCGTGCGTGGGAAATTTAACATCTCAAGTGTGCCACAATCTCAGTGGAATTGCTCTTTAATTGTTATATGTATCATTCTAATTCATTTATTTATGCCATCTGCATCCCTATGGATGAAATGAAGAAAGTATCATTTACTTACACTGCATTCTTGTGAGACGTAAAATTGTTTAAGATCTCACAGTAACTGTATCAAAGAGCCACTTTATATAAATCTTACTTTATACCAGTGGTAATTAGGAGTGTGTTCTGAACATTATCTTAGTTTGGCATTGAGGACTTAAAGAAAGAACCAAATCAAACAGCTTGTTGGGATGGTGTGAGAAATTACCAGGTATTTCAATTTTGTCTGGTTTATTTTATTTACCTTTTACATCCTAACATCAGTATGTATATTCTCTATACTGTTCTCTAAACACTTCCAAAGGTGCTGACAAGGAGAATTTGGTCAACAATCAAGAGCGTAGTTTGTTGGTGATCATTTCCTATTTTCTTGTGACCTTAATGTCTGATGAGGGGTGATATTGCAGAGAGAGATTAAAAGCCAGTAACTCTGAGGCTCAAAGGGTTAAAGATGTTGATATCTTTGTTTATATTTAACAATTATTCGCCAAAGGCGAGGTGAATATCATCAAATAATCCCCAAGACGAAGTTGAGGGGATTATTCGACAATATTCACTGAACCTGAGGCAAATAATTGTTTTAGTATGATTTCAGAGCTGAACAACGGAGAAATTTCTAAAATCATAACATTTTAGTAACATTTATGAATATTTTATTTTAACACTTTATATAAACTGCGTGGTGCAGTTTATATAGCGTCATATAAGGAACCGCTTGACCAATCAGATTGCTGGAAACTCTTTGCTCAGCTCTGAAATTATACTAACTTAATATACAGTTGAATCTTTTTTGCTTGCCTTTTTGCTCCAACTTGTTGAGAGGGGCCAAATTCTTAGAGATTAATAAATTTTTCAGGGTCCCCATCGTCTGTTTAAAGAGTTAGGGTCAACTTAGTCTTCAAGTTTAATGTAAGTTTTCCTAAGAAAATGCAAAATGAAATGATTTCATCTTTGCTAAGGTAATTTAATTCAATGATTGTAACAATTAGTAAATAAACTTAGAAGTTATCTATTTTTGTCATATTGGATGTTCCCTGCTTTCTATTTTAGGCTCGAAATTTCATGCGTGATCAAATGAAGAATGGCCACCTTGCATTCTTTTATCACAGTAACTGTAAAAATCCTGGCATAGCTGCAATTGTGGAGGTAAAATCTCATAACATGGAGAGTTTCAACCCCATAATTGACATTTTGTTATATTGATATAAATCTCCCCAAAAGTATTAAGGAGTCTATGACATACTCCCTCTTTTACAAGAAGAATCTTTTTCTCTCTTCCACAGTCTTCTAAACTTTACAGATATTAGTTAATTTGATTTTTGTTCTACAGAAAATGGGGAAAACCAGGTAATTTTATCTGCATTAAAAAGGATTTGGACAATTCTGCTCAAGGATGGTTGAATGTTGTTATCCAGATTTCAGATTTCCAGAGAAAGGCATCTGAAAAGTGTTTAATGGTCATGTGTGGTCAATCTTCCCACCATTACATATTTAGAAGTTGATATACTTGTATTTGAACTTGCAGATTGTCAAAGAAAGCTATGTGGATTATACACAATTTGATAAAACAGATCCTCATTATGACCCGTAAGTAATAACAGGCTTCAAAAATACTGATCAAATATTTACCATCTTTTTTCTTTCCATTCCTATCTCTGTGTAGAACACTTTCCACACTCTTGATGGTTGATAAAGGATGCAGGGCACTTGTTGTAAACATGAACCTGCATGCTTACTTACAAGTTTTTTGTATTTAATCTGAAAGTCTGCAATTTACATTCTCTCATATTTTTCTTTGCAAATTGCCCTTTACAAATATTTATCATCTTCCTTGATCGTTACCATGCTTGGTCAGTAATATTTTGTAGTGCCTTTGAAAAACTGTTTACTGTCCCCCTATCTAAATTTTGAAAATCTCAATAGACCTTTTAACACCCTAACACCAGTACGGGTATGCATACTGGTATGCTCCATACTTAAGGTACCCACTGAGGGCTATTTATTTAGACAAAGTTGAGCAACTGTTCAGTAAAACTGCATCGTAAACAGTTCTCAATTTAGCTGAATAATTTGGATATATCAACAAAGTTGAAATGGTAAATTGGCCACCGTAATGATTACAAAAGCTGATGTTTGGAGCGTTAGCCCTTCGTCGGAGCAAAGGGCTAACGCTTGAAACGTCAGCTTTTGTAATCATTACGGTGGCCAATTTATCATTTCAACTTTGTTGATATATCCAAATTATTTCGTTACTCCCACCGACGCAGCCCCAAAGTTTCTTTCGAAACTATCAGCCTTTATCAATTTAGCTGAACCTCTTATCTGAACATTTATTTTTGTAAACAGTGTCAAGAGGGCCCAAAGCTAACAGTATGGGGACATTTATTTTAAGGTGTCCCACTCTTATACAGGACATCTGAGTCCACTGATTGCATAAAACTGTGGTTTGGGTTACAACTTGTGCAAGGTGCCAGCCCTGAGAGGTTAACAATTAAGAGTTTCTGTAGCTGTTGATCATTTCGTTTATTCTCATTACCTTAATTTTTGATTGAGGGGTGATATTGTAGGGAGAAATTACATTCTAGTCACTGTTAAAGGTGAGGGGGTTCATAGCATTTTGAGTGTTATCCTGAGGGTATTTCAACAGCATGTACAAATCTCAGTAACTCACCATTTTAATGAACTAAATGATCTACATTAGTGATTCATGGTTTATTTTTAAAGGAATTCCAAGAAAGAGAACCCCAAATGGTTCATGGTAAGTTGTGGAAATGGCAATAATAAGTAACTTTGAAGGGAGCCTTGAATGTTGTTTCTTTTTTGCAAAGGTATTGCATTCATACTATACAGTATAAACTCTGAACGCAGGAGTGATGACATAAAGTGTATCTAATGGGCAGCATAGAGTATTAAAAGTTTTGTATCTTTTAATGCAACATGAAGTTCTCCTTGTGTTTTAAAAGAGATAGAAGGCAATTTGGAAGGAGAATCTAACAGACCATCAGAAGACTATTAGGCCCTTTTCATGTGTACCTCTTCATGTGCAAATTGTTCTTTTTGTGTTCTTTGGTTTCTTTTTTTTGTAGGTGGATGTAAAGTTTGTCCGTATGATGAAGCGCTTTATACCTCTTCAAGAACTGAAAGCTCTTCATCAAGTAAGCTGCCTCACGCATTGATAAGTGATGATGTTAATGGCATAGAGTATTAAGTAATACCTGATTATCCAACAGCTGCCAGGTATCTGAGCTCTCACTGATCAGATGCTCTCTGCAAGTGCACAACACTTGAAGTAGCCTGTTTGTTTGTTGATGTTTTGTTTTTGTTTTGAATAGGAACACAAAGCCACTGATGGTCCATTAAAGTCAGTGGCACTCTTCACATCAGCCCGATTATCAGTTCAACCAGTTACTGAAGGTAACTCATGCAAATTTAACTATGGTATTAGAAAGTTAAAAACTTGAAGTCTGTTTTAATTGTCATCTGTGAAAAATGGTCACCAAATTTGAACTTATATTTTAAGCTCTGGGCATGATGCCTACATGGTGCAGTAGTGGTGGTCACTGATTTTTTTTTTTTAACTTGTGCATCAGACTTTGCTAAAAAGAGGGACTGCTCTTTGTCTAGATTTTTCATATTGGCTACAAAAAAATTAATAGCACTTTCCTAAGACCTTAGCAAATGAATGAAGTGACTCTTTTGCTCCCCAAGGCACTCAGTCTTTCAATGCTGTTTCAAGTCATTTGCACTCAAAATTGTACCAAACAATTCTTGTAAACTGTAAAAAATAATCAATTTATTTTTTTTTTCTTATTCAGTAGAGGTAAACTTTCCTTTCTCCTTTTATTGTTTCAGATGAGTTTGAATACATTTGTAGTTTGGAGGACAAACCAGTTGGTGCCAGTTAAATTCTGCAAAATTAATAGTGCTGCTACACCTTATTCTGAAATTTTTCAATGAAAAGCAGACTATCCTGTGGCTAAATGTTCAAATGTAAAATTGAGGACTTTCTCAACAAATAAATAATGTTCCTGTTCCAGAAGTAGATAGAATTGTTCCCGAGTTGGGTTTTGTTTATAGATGTTGCTGAAAAGTAACCTTAAACACCTAAATTTTTTGGATTGTTAATTTTACATGGCATAACTATTCATTTAGTCCTGTGGGACAAAAATCCAAGGAGGGTTATTCAACTGTATTCCATGTTATTTAACAAATAAAGAAGCCTTGACTGTGCTGTGTTTGTTGTAAGGCACGTAGGAAGTGGCTAGAGCACAAAGGATGTGTGGAGGCAAAGACTAGAGATATAAAAATGAAACAAAACAAAATATATATCTAACTTGCAAAATAGATATCTGAAATTTGCCATCAGTACATAAATAATCAAATAAAAAATAATCATTGAGGTTTGAAGTAGGGGGTTATCAGGACACAGGTTTCAAATAGCCTTACCCACTTCTATTCCCCCCCTTCCAAGAAGATCTGCAGGTGTACATCCCTGATTATTACAAAATTTTTTATGAGAGATGAATTTTCTTACATTTTGGAGTAGAACCTAACATAGTTCAGTTGTCAAAAAGACATCATTTCTTTAGACTTTGAAAAGGGCTGGGCAAAGTGGACTTTTTTCCTATGCCTGACTATCACTGAAGGTACCATATTGAAGATTTGAATATTACTTATAAAGCTGATGTACAGCACCAACCCACAGGTAAAACAAACTCCTCTCAACAAATGTTGGGAACTGCATGAACTAAACCCCTATGTGTAACTTGTTCCTTAGCTAATCAGTTTTCATGAATCAGTTTTCATGAACCAGTTTTTAACAGGCTCCATTTAAACTAGCTTTCTGTTGAACTGGGCAAACCTATATTAATAGAAATAAATACAACTAAATATGACAACTCTTCCACTTTTTTCAGGTTAGAGACTTCCACTGACAACAGTCCACCATCAGGACAAAACTCATCTGTCAAACACTCTAAATTATCAAATGAAAGTGGTTAAGTTACTAAAAATGGAATGTTACCATCTGCAGGGAAATCTTCTAAGCAGCCATGACCATTTGCCTTCTTACAAGGCATAAAGCTACCAGGTTTATATTCAGTCCAACTGTCTTGAAAACCTGTCCTACGCCAGGACTGAGAATGTTTAAGGATTTCTCTTCCATAGCGATTTCGTGAAAACAAACCAGGAGAAAATGATGTAATAATCCAGTAACCTTCAATGTTGGCTTTTGTAAATGTTTCATATTTCTGCAGCTCACTTGGGAGATACCTGTAATTTGTCATGTCAGCCATTCCCCATACTTCAATATTAAACTCATTAAAATAAACACCCACATACCCATGACTACCCCCTTGCTTTTGTGGTTCAAAACCTCTTAAACTGTAACCATTTTTCTGGAAATAATCAACTGTTCTATTTTCACCAAAGATGTTAATACCAGTACAAAGAAAAGTTAAATCTCCATCTATATCCCAAGGAACAAGGCTTTTGAACTTGATACCACCCAAGGTAGAACCAGAATCAAGTTCAAATGTAAGGTTGTGAACTTCAGTAAAATTCTGAAAAAATACCAAGGCATCAGCGTACTGTTTCAGGCAACACAAAGGGAGTAGTTCATGATCAGGTTTGCAAGTAACTTCAATATCTTTACAGGAGAAGGAATGCTTTATCCCCTCTGGCATTATCACTCTATTTAGTTGCCATTTCTTAGCCAAAGGCGTCCAAACGTTTCTATTATTTCTTTTGGAATAGGACCAGTAGTCTGTTGTAAAATACATAGCATCTGGACACGACATCGCTAGGCTGCCTTTTTGGATAATAGTTAAAAACCAGTCTTCAAACACAACTTCATTTGGAAGCTTCTCATCAAGCTTGAACAGATTTGTTTTGGTGACAAAAGGTCCCTGTAGATAATCACAGAACATGCACTCATTCTTTGAGTGTAAGTATCCTTCTTGGTACTTTATGGCGTAGTTCTTCATTGTAGTTTGAACACATCCTGCTTTCCAGTGACCGGCAAAGTTACGGTATGATCCACCAGCAACTTCAACATATGATACTTGACTGATAACACGAATCTGCCTCTCTAGTTGTGTTAGCCATGTGAAGTGAAACACGTCACGTGCAACCAGCACATAAGGAGTAGAGGCTTTCCTAACTAGTGTGTTCCATACTTTAGCAACATTTACTCCATGAACTTTAATCACATGAACATTTTCATACTTTTTGGCAGCTTGCATTACAATGTCACTTCCTGTTGCCAAATAAACTTGAATTGTTGGATAGGTCTCTGTTATTCCTTTTATAACTGTTTCAATGTGTCCTTCATCTCGCTTTGGATATGCAACATTGTTGACTAGCACACTTACAACAGAATGAAGAGGTTTAATATTGGTACAGCTGGTTTTCACCCAACCATTCTCGAGGGAGCTTGAATTTGTCCCATGATTGTAAACTTCTGGACACACATCCAAAATAACATCATTGTCGCTCACACTATCCACTGCTTTCCTCCTGTCATATTTGTTTATAATTTCATCCAACTGCTCGGCCAATTTTGCTGATGGCCCCTGTTTCAAGAGGAGAAATTCCTGCAATTGTTGGTGAATGCCTTTAAGCTCCTTTGCAAGGTTTTCTCGCAACTTGCGAGTCTCTTCACATGGCCTGTAAGAGACAAGATTTATACCTTAAACACATCTTTAAACATACTATTAAACACAGTCTACTGCCACGTTCATAATGGTTACAGTAAAAATTTTTAACAGTTAAGGTTGTGGTTTGTTTATTATTTGAGAATGATTTTTTTGCTTTGCGCAAGCATGTAACAAAGAAAAAATCTGAGTCCTGTGAAGAATTGAACCTAAGACGTTTGGATTCCATGCTCTGATGCCCTACCACTGAGCCACAGACACTCCATGGTGAGCAAAGCTCAGTACAAAGTTCATATATGACATGCATCCTGCATACTGCTTGCTTGGATTCACTTCCTATTCACAGTGTTGCTACCACTGTTAACTTAGCATACATTCTGTGGCTAACATACCATTTATGCCTCTATTAATATCATTTTATTCCAGTCTTTGAGAGCACTAACTCTGATCCAGTATAATGATATTAAATACTTTTTTCCTGTTTGTCAAGCTATCAACACAAGGATAGGTTTAAGGAGAGGTTTCCATTTAATACAAATTCAGAAAAGCCAAATATATCTACCTGTAGCTTTTATTCCAATGTGTGCTGATTTTAAATATGGACATGAACATTACCACCACCAGTATTGGGCATGCTTTCAACATTATGCCCCAGGACCGTGGACGAATAGACATCACTGTGCCAAGTCTCTCCCTGTTTTTCACAAAGATAACCATGTGTTTAATTTAGTATACAAATACTACAATTTAGCATCCTTGAATTAAACTGCAAATATTCATTTGTGATCAGTAATGCCCTTCCACAGAGGTTTTTTGCTTTGTACTTGAGACAAATCTTATCAATTTACAATCATTTAATTTTTTATTTCTTTATTCAAATTTAATACATTTGCAAAAATTTATTTTGAATTCGTGATTTGCATGTGACATTCCTGTCATTTATGAAAATTACATGCATCACATGTCCGTGTAATGCTGCAAGACATAAAAGTATACTTTACAGAAGAATTTTTAAGTCATTCATGCACCATGACCATGGAGTGACAATAGGTTACTGCAGTGAGAGAACTCGATTCATTTCCTTTTTTTTTTTCTTTTTTTAAGTTTCTACATCTCACATTCTTGTTCCAAGCCTTCCTTATGACCTGCCAAAAATTTTTGCTATTCTCAGTTTCTGCAAATTGCTCTCTTCAGTAAGAAAGTCTGCACTTTTATTAATTTCTTAACACAATTCCTGGCTATTTGCATCTTTGTTGACCTTGTAGAACCACAAAACATGACTATAAGCAATGTTTAGGATGGGTCATATCATGCAATTGTGCAATTCTCACTAGTTACTAGTCACTCTGGTATGACCTTGATGATACCACAAATGTGGAATCATTTGGGGATTTGGGGTGGCTATATGGCTTTACCTCCATCCTAAGAATCAGCACTGCACTGATGAGGCCCAGAAGGTTGAAACAGTATAGACTGTAGTATTTCATTTTGATGGTCTTTGTATGTTTGAGCAGTAGTTTATCATAAGTTTATATATAATAATATAGTTTTAAACAGAATAAAAAGGTAAACCAAACGATGAGCTCCTAGTAGAAGGATCCACGGAGGATACGGTGCTTCAATGAAAATATTAAGTGTAAAACAATGAAACATGAAGCAAACTTCTAACAGAGGTCATTCTGTAAACCTACTAGGACTTTTAGTTTTTAATTTTTATGTAAATACGTTCCATTTGAAGAAGGCCGAAGGCCCAAATGTCGCCACATTAAAGCTGGAACACTTAGAAGTTTGCTTTATGTTTCATTTTACACTTACTTAATAATATATTTTTATATAGGAAGTCTGTGTTTCAATATTTCCATATCATAGTGCTCAATATATAAAAGTAGAGCACAATATATGTTGAGTTAGAAAAATACAAAGACTATGCTTTCATCACTACAAGCCTATTTTGTGATTGCTCACTCATCAGGGGATTGATGAGTGAGCAATCACAAAATAGACTTGTATATATATAATTATATACATACATACATACATATACCTGCAGACAGTACTGTTTCAGCCTTCTGGGCCTCATCAGTGCAGTGCTGATGCTAGGATGGGGGAGAACCGATATGGTTACCCCAAACGATCCCACATTTGTGGTATCGTCTAACTAAGCCATGCCAGAGTGCTCAAACTAGGAAAGCCTAGCGAGCTATGCGCAATGCTAGCGGCAATGACTCACCCCACAGTGCTCAATTTGGACATGAAAGCAGAGCTTTGTATGCCAAAGAGCTATATCTAACTGCATGGTTCTATATATATATATATATATATAGAGTAGTAGGTAGTGATCAACCAAGACGACACGTGACACATGGTTTCTGTTATTTGGAGTTTCATGCTTACGCACTCATCAGACAGATTTCATGAAGAATGTTCCTTACAAGCTAGTTTATATATAGAGGTGTGATAAAAAAATTATTGTTATTTACAATTGCTGCATTACAATGGGGCTAAGGTATTACGAATGAGGCAACAGTGAACGTGAACTAATCATCTGTGGTAGTAGGTAGCAGAATAATAGTCTATTGTGGTGTTTGGTGATAATTAGCTATTCTTCAAGTAGTATTTGTTCTCATGGCGGCATTTGGAGATGAGTTCCGATTTTTTGTTGAGTAGCCTGTCACAGTTCGATTTAATTATCATTAATTTTTCTGTTAGGCAAAGGTTGCATCGTTTGGAAGTGTTGTTGTAGGGTCTTGCTCTGGTCTATTTGATGTTGTAATCCTCACCGCTATCCTGTAGTTGCCAAATGTACTTTGATAGCTCGGTGCTGTTAATGTGCTCTCTATGTCAGAATGAAGATTTATGTTGTGTAAATCTCTGTTTGAAAGTTCCTTCTGTCAGTCCAATGTAGTCTTTTATTTTGTCACTTGTTGTGACTTAGGCGTTATAGATTAAGCAGGAGGTTAGACAGTTGTTGTCGAGTGGGAATTGGTCTTTAGAGCGGCAGTTGCACCGTTTCTGGTTGTCAGTGTGGGCGTCGTTGCTGGTAATTTTCTTGTTGTGTTCGTCAATAATCGATTTCATGTTGTCCATGCAGCTGTAGATAACTTTGACGTTCTTCATTAAATCTGTCTGAATTGTAATACAATAACTTACAAACTCCTTAAATAGGTTTACAAAAAGGGCATGATAACAGGTATTAACAAAAACAGTAATTACTTCACAAAAAATTATCACAATCTATGAGAAAAACAAACATAGAAATTAAAAAATTGTCGAATCCACTGAAAATGTTAAGGAACCAGCCTTGAAATAAGGCGAGAATTGTACCAAAATTCCCAATCAAAGCTGAGACTAGGACCTTTGATGCCCGCCCAATTTGAAAAAATTCTCCACATTAATTATAGTTTATTCTTTTTTTGGAGTGAAATTCCTGGCGCTTATTCAAGCCGAAGAGTGCCAGAAGAGTGCCGAATTAATTATATATATATATATATATATATAATTAATTCGGCACTCTTCTGGCACTCTTCGGCTTGAATAAGCGCCAGGAATTTCACTCCAAAAAAAGAATAAACTATAATTAATGGGGAGAGTTTTTTGAAATCGGGTGGGCATCAAAANACTGACCTCTGCGATACTAGTGCAGCGCTCTACCAATTGAGCTAACAAGCCAACTGGGAGCAGGCCATCAAATTAATTCGATATAAACCCGTAGATGATAAATCAAACAACAACAAACATATGAAACATATGTGTGAACTGCGGTTATGAGACGTATATGAGAACGATCCTTCGCAGTAAAGCACTATTTGAGCAATAGTGAAAATCAGACCTGAAAAAAATTTCAGGCCTGTACGGGATTCGAACCACTGACCTCTGCGATACTAGTGCAGCGCTCTACCAATTGAGCTAACAAGCCAACTGGGAGCAGGCCATCAAATTAATTCGACATAAACCCGTAGATGATAAATCAAACAACAACAAACATATGAAACATATGTGTGAACTGCGGTTATGAGACGTATATGAGCACGATCCTTCGCAGTAAAGCACTATTTGAGCAATAGTGAAAATCAGACCTGAAAAAAATTTCAGGCCTGTACGGGATTCGAACCACTGACCTCTGCGATACTAGTGCAGCGCTCTACCAATTGAGCTAACAAGCCAACTGGGAGCAGGCCATCAAATTAATTCGACATAAACCCGTAGATGATAAATCAAACAACAACAAACATATGAAACATATGTGTGAACTGCGGTTATGAGACGTATATGAGCACGATCCTTCGCAGTAAAGCACTATTTGAGCAATAGTGAAAATCAGACCTGAAAAAAATTTCAGGCCTGTACGGGATTCGAACCACTGACCTCTGCGATACTAGTGCAGCGCTCTACCAATTGAGCTAACAAGCCAACTGGGAGCAGGCCATCAAATTAATTCGACATAAACCCGTAGATGATAAATCAAACAACAACAAACATATGAAACATATGTGTGAACTGCGGTTATGAGACGTATATGAGCACGATCCTTCGCAGTAAAGCACTATTTGAGCAATAGTGAAAATCAGACCTGAAAAAAATTTCAGGCCTGTACGGGATTCGAACCACTGACCTCTGCGATACTAGTGCAGCGCTCTACCAATTGAGCTAACAAGCCAACTGGGAGCAGGCCATCAAATTAATTCGACATAAACCCGTAGATGATAAATCAAACAACAACAAACATATGAAACATATGTGTGAACTGCGGTTATGAGACGTATATGAGCACGATCCTTCGCAGTAAAGCACTATTTGAGCAATAGTGAAAATCAGACCTGAAAAAAATTTCAGGCCTGTACGGGATTCGAACCACTGACCTCTGCGATACTAGTGCAGCGCTCTACCAATTGAGCTAACAAGCCAACTGGGAGCAGGCCATCAAATTAATTCGACATAAACCCGTAGATGATAAATCAAACAACAACAAACATATGAAACATATGTGTGAACTGCGGTTATGAGACGTATATGAGCACGATCCTTCGCAGTAAAGCACTATTTGAGCAATAGTGAAAATCAGACCTGAAAAAAATTTCAGGCCTGTACGGGATTCGAACCACTGACCTCTGCGATACTAGTGCAGCGCTCTACCAATTGAGCTAACAAGCCAACTGGGAGCAGGCCATCAAATTAATTCGACATAAACCCGTAGATGATAAATCAAACAACAACAAACATATGAAACATATGTGTGAACTGCGGTTATGAGACGTATATGAGCACGATCCTTCGCAGTAAAGCACTATTTGAGCAATAGTGAAAATCAGACCTGAAAAAAATTTCAGGCCTGTACGGGATTCGAACCACTGACCTCTGCGATACTAGTGCAGCGCTCTACCAATTGAGCTAACAAGCCAACTGGGAGCAGGCCATCAAATTAATTCGACATAAACCCGTAGATGATAAATCAAACAACAACAAACATATGAAACATATGTGTGAACTGCGGTTATGAGACGTATATGAGCACGATCCTTCGCAGTAAAGCACTATTTGAGCAATAGTGAAAATCAGACCTGAAAAAAATCAGACCCGTACAGGCCTGAAATTTTTTTCAGGTCTGATTTTCACTATTGCTCAAATAGTGCTTTACTGCGAAGGATCGTGCTCATATACGTCTCATAACCGCAGTTCACACATATGTTTCATATGTTTGTTGTTGTTTGATTTATCATCTACGGGTTTATGTCGAATTAATTTGATGGCCTGCTCCCAGTTGGCTTGTTAGCTCAATTGGTAGAGCGCTGCACTAGTATCGCAGAGGTCAGTGGTTCGAATCCCGTACAGGCCTGAAATTTTTTTCAGGTCTGATTTTCACTATTGCTCAAATAGTGCTTTACTGCGAAGGATCGTGCTCATATACGTCTCATAACCGCAGTTCACACATATGTTTCATATGTTTGTTGTTGTTTGATTTATCATCTACGGGTTTATGTCGAATTAATTTGATGGCCTGCTCCCAGTTGGCTTGTTAGCTCAATTGGTAGAGCGCTGCACTAGTATCGCAGAGGTCAGTGGTTCGAATCCCGTACAGGCCTGAAATTTTTTTCAGGTCTGATTTTCACTATTGCTCAAATAGTGCTTTACTGCGAAGGATCGTGCTCATATACGTCTCATAACCGCAGTTCACACATATGTTTCATATGTTTGTTGTTGTTTAATATAGCTATACTTAGAAATAAAACTCAGCGACAAAAACTTCATAAAAAATTAATAAAGGTCTTTTTACTCACCTGAAGTGTTGTTCTTGTACTTAAGTAACGATTTCAAGCCATTTGAGAATTTTTTATTCAAGTCTTTGAAGACTGCTGCTAGATCGAGTCAACACCATACTGCCAGATTTTTAACGTTAAACCAAGTCCCCTCGCTTTCTCTCTAGTCAGGGCAATACGGGGATAAATTTCCAGTTCTACTGACAGAACTTTGTATCGAGAGTTCCTTTAACGAAGATAAGCGAAATGTCGTGAAAATAAATTGTTTGAATGATGCTCTCGCACCCTCTTCCACACGATCGCGCGATTTTGCAATAATTTGCCACGCCGTTACGCCGGCGATAACAAGGCCGCGAGAGGCTTTATGTATGGGGAATTGTTATGTCCAAGATACGATTACGCCCCACGCTTACATACATAAACATGTCATGTATGGGAATTATTATGTCCTCAGTATATACTGTCGAACCTCTATTAAGCGGCCCTCTATTCAGCGGTCACCCTCTATTAAACGGACGCTCATCAAATAATTCCCAAAATACAGTCCAGTTCCCTTACTTACTGTAAATTTGACCTCTATTAAGCGGACGCGGTCACCGTTTACAATTCCCAATTGGCTAATGTTATTGTATTTCACCTCTATTAAGCGGTCACCTAGTAAATTCCAATTAACTACGCGTTATTTTGACACGATGATACGCGCACCAGGTCCAGTTTCTTTCAACAACTCATCAAACACGACATAATACACATGATACATTGATAAGAGTGGTTTTGTTTGGGCTAATAGGCCTTCGAGGGCCCACCGTAGTGCACGTCAAACTCTTCTTTTATTAACTTCGCTTGCAGCCAACCACAAGAAAAGCTAATTTGGTTATATCAACTAAGTTGAAATTGTAAATTGGCCACCGCAACGAATAAAAAAGCTGACGCTTCGAGCGTTATCCCTTCGTCGGAGCGAATGGAGGAATTGTGGGTTGTATGTGGATTTATATGCAGAAAGCGGAGCTACGCCATTGGTAGGAACATGGTGACGAGAAAACGCGAATAAATTAGTGGAATGAAAAGCGTTCATTGATACCTGTGGGATTATTAAGAGTGCCGATTTGAAAGATAAACTTTTGCTCAAGAGTTTTGTGGCTCTCCGTGTTACCTAAATGTAAGGAAAGAGCGCAGATTGCCCTATGAAATCAAGTCTTCACCCAGTTTAGATATTTATAAATCTAAACTGAAAACACACCTTTTTAAATGCGCTTTTAATCTAAATTAGATAACTTAATCTTTTGTTTTTATATTTCTAAGTCATACTGTAATACAATGGATGTAAAGCGCTTAGAACGCATGCGAATAAGCGCTATATAAGTGTTATTATTATTATTATTATTATTTATTATTATTATTATTATTAATATGTTGTTTAGAATGATTGGGTAAATTAAAGTGTCTAGCGACTGGTTTTGATGCATCCTTGTCATTCCTTTCTACGTCGCGAAGGCGTTCTCGGAATCGGTCACCTAGTCGTCTTCCTGTTTCGCCGATGTATAACTTTTTGCAATAAGTGCAAGTTCTGCAATAGATTACGTTGGAGGAGGAGCATGTGAAGTGATCGGTGATCATAATGGATCACTTGGGTCCCGATATTTTCTCAGCGTTGTGAATGAAACGTCAGCTTTTTTCTTCGTTACGGTGGCCAATTTACAATTTCAACTTAGTTGATATAACCAAATTACCTTGTTACCCCCATCGACGCAGCACCACAGTTTCTTTAGAAACTTTCAGCCTTTAGTCACAAGAAAAGCTGTCACCTTCAAAGATATATTCGCAAGGAACCTCGAGGCCGTAGCCACCTCCTCTGTTTACTTGTTTCTCCTTGATTAATACTCGGAAACCTGATTTTTGAGAATTCCATCTAAGTCACTACCCGTATGATCTACGCTTCTCCTTTTGAGACTTCCCTCCTTCGCAGCCACTCTTAGACATGACACGCTCCTCCACATGAACGACTCTATATTCCTTCCCCTTTTTGGACCAATCATATTTTGTTTCTCACTGAATCTGAATTCATTCGCGCCTCTTGAGGGAATGCCACGTGCCAGGGCCCTCCCCATAAGTTAGTAGCCACCATGAGGTGATTTATTCACACATTTGTACCGGAATATTTCACAGACAACTTTACATCACACGTCTCACCATTACATTACCTTTAAAAATTATGAATGACTTTCTCGGGATGGATGTGACAACGTTTAGACCCTAATGTTCAGGACTCCTGACAGTGGCGGATCCAGGGGGAGGGTCCGGGGGGTCCGGACCCCCTAACAGGCCCAACGCTTACAACTTTGAAACTGAAATTCTTACATCGACAGGATCGTATATCACTTTTGAACTGGCTGATCTTTTTAATGAATCCAAGTTAACGGTACTGAAGCGGCTAAGGAATTAAAACGTGCAACCGCGACTGGTGGGAGGGGGTGTGGGGGAGAAGTAACTTGCCTCGAAAGTCCAACAGTCCTTTCTGAAACAAAGTTTGGACCCCCCCTATCAAAAATTACCGGATCCGCCCCTTCCCAAGACGAGCAGGAAGGATTGTTTGCAGAGCTTCAAGTAGCGAGGACGGCGATCGAAAGACTGGATTTGAAAACTTTAGCTTATAGGCAATCCAAGCACACTTTGAATTTAGTGAACAAATGTATAAATGGGCAATGTCCTCAGTTTTTTAAGGAACTATTTTAATTTCAATAAGCATTTAAAAAGCCGTGATACTCGCCAAAAAATTTAATCCATCTACCTCCGATCGGTACCAACAGAAATTGCAAAACAATCGTTTTATTACTATGGATCCATAATTTATAATTCATCAAAGTAGAGTAATTTTTATATACATAATTTTAAATTTAGAAATCTAAAGCCCTATGAATGTGTTTTATGTCTTCGTGTTTGTATTTCGCATGAAATTGTAATGTTTTTTATTTAGTTTATACTCAGGGCTCCCATTGATCGCAGGTGGCTCTTTAGAGCTTCTGACGGGGCTACCCTGAGGTTTATTTTTATTTTTAAAAAGTATATCCCGGGAAAAGAGCTTCAAGTGGTGGAAAAGTCGAGTCTGCAGATAAATAACTGGTCGCACGCCGAGTAGCTTCTCACATTCAGTGTAGAGACGTGGTGATTTAGCAGAAATCGACAAAAATTTATAACTTTTCTTTCTCTGGAACTACTACTGGACAAACGAAACGACCAGCGGCTGTTACTTCTTCATTAGTGGCCCGTTCAAACAAACAAAGGCCGAGGAATGAAGTTCAAAAGTAAGCAGCCGTTTGTGGAACGAACGGCTGCGAAGGAGACAACTCGAGACAGGTCTTCATGATGTTGGACGTTGTTCATTGTTACTAAACAATATGTTGTTCTATACGGTACGTTTAAGTATTGACTTAATGACGTCTTGGTATTGATATCTCTATCAAAGTGAAGAAAAATTAGTTTCAAACTCGGTATTGTTCAGATTTGAAAAAGCGGGTCTCGACCCATCTTTACCTGAAGGAGCAGAGGGAAATAAAACTTGTTAGCGCTCGGACCCCCAACTCTTCCGCCCCGGTTACAATGCATAACAGGCGTCAATTGTTGCGTTTTTCAGGAAAACAGAGGCAAGCACTAAGCGAGCGCAAAGTGCTATTCAACACATTTTTTGCTCCCATTTCCCTGGAAATCGCGAACAAATTACAGCTGTTTCTGCAAGTTAGCCCCGGTAGGCACTTTCGCTGGTTTAATTGCTATTGCTACGTATAGAGTTTGTGTGCAGTTAGCCTGCGTTAAGTGGTAATCGGGCTTTGAATAACCCGGCTCTAAAGAACGCGAAGAGCAACTACGGAAATTTTCACGGTGATAGATTTACTGACTGACTTGATGAGAGAATCGAAGGCGGGAAATTTTGATCAGTTAACTTTCAGGTGAATCGTCATCGGGTTATCAGCGATAACTTTTCATTTGACATCTGTCCTTATCTTTCCTTCCTTTCGTGTGAATAAATATAAATTCCAAGAAGTTAGTTCCCAATAGATCCTACGCTCATATCCCCCTTGACCTATCTGGTTGGCACTGTTTTCTCTTTTTCCTTTTACCATTTATTTTTTTAATCAAAGTCTAATCCACTGCGAGGGGAAAGTTGTGACTAACTCTATACAAGAGAAAATCATTTGCTCTATACAAATTCGCTCAACCACCACTAGTCAGGCAACTAATCATAAATTGGCCCACTGAGTTTAATAATAGAAATTGATAGGATTCAGTTTCTATTCATCTTAGAAAAAATTTAAATAGGTACAAAATTGGACATTCTATAAAAAGGCGCAGCACAATGCTAAGAGTAAAAAACAAATAAAAAAAAAAAGGAATGGCTTACCTCAAGTAGTTAAAATTAATTTCATAGTCTCGGAGTTTCCTGAAAGTATCTTCCTTGCCATTAAATTTGATTAAGACTACTCCGGTACTTACTTACTTACTTACTTACTTAATCCTCTTCGTGTTGTGAAACACTCCGGTTCAGTATATAAAAATTACGCGACATTTCCAAGTATTAGCCTGTTCCAGGCACTCAAGTCAAGAAACAAGCACAGGGGACTACGGCAAAATTAAGGAGGGCTCGATTATTTTCCCCGCACAAAGTAACTCTCCATTTGATAAATCTTTTCTACTTCCTTGTGCGCTATGGCACATGTCTAATTTACCATAAATGGTATGTCACCGTCATAAGGATAGTTGTGTATGCATGCATGACGCTCTGGTTTTTTACAAAACTTGAAGCCTTCAGGATTGTATTCACTCCAGCTGCTTGATAATCTCTGCTTGATCCACGATTGAGAGTGTTTGAGGATTTCTCTTCCATATCGATTCCTGGAAAAGAAACCTGGACTAAATGCCGTATTTATCCAATAACCGTTTATGTTGGCTTTTGTGAAAGTTTTTTGTCTCTGTAGCTCTGGTGGGAGATATCTTTTGTTTGTAACGTCCCCCATTCTCCATATCTCGATATAAAACTTTTTGAAAAAGAGCCTAACGTACCCTTTTTTGTCTTCATATTTCGCAAAAGTGTATCCATTTTTCTGGAAATAATCAACTGTTTCACCTTTTCCTAGTATGCCAAAACCAGAAGTTGAGATAATAAAATCTCCATCCAAGTCCCAAGGAACAAGACCTTTAAATTTAACACCGCCCAGTGTGGAACCAGAATCAAGTTCAAAAGAGAAATTGTGAGCTTCAGCAAATTTCTGAAAAAATGCCAAAGCATCAGCATACTCCTGAAGGCAACACAAAGGGAGTAGCTCACTGTTGGCTTTGCATGTAACACCTATATCCTCGCAAGAAAAGGAATGCTTTACCCCTCCTGGAAGTAAAACCCTATTCAGTTCCCACTTTTTAGCCAATGGTGTCCAAACATTTCTATTATTTCTTTTAGAATACGACCAGTAATCTGTTGTAAAATACATAGCATCTGGACATGACATCGCTAGGCTGCCCTCTTGGACAACACTTGAAAACCAGTCTTCAAACACAACTTCATTTGGAAGTGTCGTGTCTAATTTAAAAAGACTTTTTTTGGTGACAAAAGGTCCTTGTAGATAATCACAGAACATGCACTCATTCTTTGAGTGAAAGTATCCTTCTTGGTACTTTAAAACGTAGTTCTTCATTGTAGTTTGAACACATCCTGCTTTCCAGTGACCGGAGAAGTTACGGTACGATCCACCAGCGACTTCAACATATGGTAACTGACTGACAACACGAATCTGCCTCTCAAGTTGTGTTAGCCACGTGAAGTGAAACACATCACGTGCAATGAGCACATAAGGAGTAGAAGCTTTCCTAACTAATGCATTCCATCCTTTAGCAACATGTGCTTTATCAATCACAACAACATTGACATTTTGATAATTCCTGGCAGTTTTCATTACACTGTCACTTCCTGTTGCCAAATAAACCTGAACTGTCGGGTAGGTCTCTGTTATGCCTTTTAAAACCGTTTCAATGTGGCCCTCATCTTGCTTGGGATATGCGACAGTGTTGACCAGCACACTAACAACCGAGCGAAGAGGTTTTGCATTGGTACAATTAATTAGTGCCCAACCCTCACTATAAAAGGGGTAACCAAACTTTGTCCCTTTGTACACCTCTGGACAAACATCCAAGCTGTCAGTATCATCAACCTTTTGACCGACTACACTTGCTAGATCTTCTCTGGGATCAAGCCGTTTCACAATTTCTTCCAATTGTACAAGTAGTGTTGGCGATGGTGCTTTATTGTAAAGGAATAACTTTCGCACTTTCTGTTGGATTTCACTCAGTTCATCTCCAATGCTTTTTCGGAACTCATAGTCCTGGGCATTGCATAAAGCCCAACGTTTTAATCTGTGGGGAGATGGCAAGATCTTTGATTCTATTTACAAACGACAAAACAATACCCAACAGTTCACATACTAAGAAATAACTGTAGTAAGAGTAATTTTAAAATTTCCACATTTTGAGAGGAGCACACACAAGCACCTTCCGCACCAGTTTCAAAATGCCTCAGTCTTTCACAGGAGTAAAAGTGAACAGACTGGGAAGGGAGAGATCTAAACATGCATTTTTTTACCTACAAACTTGGTGTATTAAGCTAGCTGCTAAAAGGTTCAAAGAAAAGTATATCCTTCGGCAGTGGATTTCAAGTCAAATGTTATGATTAGATTTATCATTTTTAAATCTTATGCTGGTGACAAGTGTAAAGATTGCCATGCTTACTCAAAGTTAACAAGCACTTGAATAAAGCAATATATAAACTTCTCCTTTGTACTATAAATACTTCAATAACCATTTTAGATTGGAAGGTTAAGGGGAGGGGAAAATGACAAGTTTTGCAAGTGGAGAGATACACATCTTTACATAAGGTTTACTTTTCCAAAAATTTCACACAAAACATACCCTGTTAATTGGTCACTGAAGACATACATGGATAGGACTGTTGCCACTAAGAGCACAGGAAATAACCAGAGGAATAGCCTCCTTGGACAAGTGATTGCCATAGTCTTTTGATGTAAACTGTCTGTGGACATTACATTACAAAATTATATACAAATATTTTTGCAACAAGGGAATATTGATTTAACATCAAATTCTTAGCTACAAATTTTATTTATGTATAAAACACAGTGATTGTAGAGAGAATTGATACCACCATTGAAAAACCACATCACACGCCAGGAAACCCAAGATGCAGATCAGTGGCAAGTTACTCAAGATTATAAAGTAACACTCCAACCTTCAAGTTTTTGCCTTAGATCTCACTAAAAATTTTTTGAAATACTTGCAGTGTTTTCTTGTTTTCTTCTATATTGGGGGAAGGGGGGGGTTAAGTTGACTGAGGCCCTAAAGTCCAATTCACAGAAATTTTTTTTTTTTTTTGGGGGGGGGCTTAAATATCCTTGCAAGTTTGCTTCAGCATACAGTTAAAGGAACCATTTCATGAGATCTTGTTATCATTCAAACAAAATTTTATGCTTTCTATTGGCCATAGGCCCATTTGATGGTACCACCACAAAATGAAGGCATTTATCCATTGTCAACCAAAGCATGGAAAGCAGAGCTTTTCAAAATACAAGAGAGCCTGGAGCAAAGACAAAATAAATATTGTACAGGGGAAGGAAAAGAAGCCCTCTGGTTAATAACAAGGTGGTTTAAGGCACAGTTCTAACTGTATAAATGTTTCAATTTTATTTCCAGTAACTCAAAGAAACATTTTTAAGAAACAACAATACTTTTAAGTGTGACCTACAAAACAAAGTACTCAATTCATCACATGGATCTACCATTTGGGTTATCACTATCCTTCCCCTGTAAAGTAGGGCTTCAGGCTCTCTAAGATTTTGAAAGGCTTTGCCGTCCACACTTTCAGTGTTGATAGATTAAAACATTAATGGCTGAACTTCAAGAGGGAAGATGGCAGACATAGAGAATACATTTAGTGGTGAGTGCATGCATCACCTGCCTCTCCACATCTCATGGGTGGCAGGGAAAAATAACAGCTAAAATTCAACAAAATTTGCCAAAACTCATACCAGGGAGTATCAAGTACTAGAAGACAATCCAAGTTTTTCAAACAAAAAATTAATAACAGTTGGGGGAAAATTGAGTGTTCATGTGTCATCATAAAACATCTTGAGTAAATTAACTGAGACTATTCTGCAGCTTTAGCCACCCATAATGACATAAAACTGAGAATTGCAAAATAACATCTTTTCAGTGTCAATAGGATAATTTTTGTTTAACAATGAAAAGAAAAACACGTATGTGAAAGAAGTTTAGTTATTTTACCTCAAAAGCTTTACAAATAAGGAACTACATCAAGTAATGGCCAAGTTCACATTATAGATCATTACACCCTAATAATTATTGGGTAATCATTACAATTTCTACTTTTTCACTGCCATTTTTGTCTAGTTCTACAGCATAAATGTAACAAGTAATACACAAGGTAAATAATCTTCAGTATGTGTCAAAACTTGCTGAAAGAGCTGTCTTCAATCAGTTGCATGAACATATGATGGCAAATAGCATTTATCCCTTATTCCAGTCTGCATATAGAAAATACCACAGTACTGAAACTGCATTACTGAGAGTAATGAATGATATTCTTTTAAAGATGAACTCCCAACATGTAACGTTATTGGTTCTATTGGATCTTAGCGCAGCATTTGACAGTGTCCCATGATGTGTTGCTCGATCGTTTGCATAATGATGTTGGTTTACGCGGGAATGCTCTCAAATGGTTCCACTCCTATCTTTCTCAAAGAAGCCAGCAGGTCTCTATACATGGTACTCTGTCCAATTATTTTGAATTGGACTGTGGTGTTCCACAGGGCTCTTGCCTTGGACCTTTATTATTCATAGTTTATGCATCAAAGCTATTTGCTATCATAAAGAAACATCTTCCTAGTGTGCATTGCTTTGCTGATGATACGCAATTGTATCTTAGTTTCAAGTCT